ATCTTGCCATCCATCCATCCTTTCCTGTTTGGCATCTTTCTGCGTATGCGCTACATGTCGAACCAGCGCTACACGGTAGGAGAGAGTTGTCGCCTGAAATGCTAGCCGGAAGCATGGAACAAATATCGTGTGTTGCATTCATCTTAGTTTCCCACCGGAAGATTTAAAAACGATCGCAAAACAGTTGCCAGACAGTTGCAGTTTCAGCCTGCCTTGAAAGGTTCGAGATGTATTTCAGAAACATCCTGAGGTGTGTTTTTGAGACCAGGTGTCAAAAGGTGAAAGTTCCGTAGTACGCATGCGTCAAGACGACTTCAAGTTTCGGTGTGCGGATCGCCTTTTCAACGTTTTGGATTAGGTTTCGTTTTATTTAAGCCATTTTTTTGAAATAGCAAGTCTAACTACTGACAGAAATATTAGGATCCAAAAACACTACCTAGCAATGGTTTATTTCGCGTCGTCGCTAGCCCAGCACAACACAAATTCTTGGCCGCATTTTGATAACGTTCATTGGGACAAAGGAGGCAGTGCGTTCCTAGAGTATCAGAGTAGGTCGTTAACCAATAATATTGCCTTAGCGGTGTCAGGAAAATGAAAGGAATGGATAAAGTAAAGCAGGCAATGCCTGTGAGCCACAGTGCTAATATGCAGCCTCATCAAACTATAGTGGATGTATAGCATATACGGACATGCTTCCTAGGCGTGTCGAGTTTTCCAAAGGGCAGCAGGAACACATGATCCAAATCTGATTGCATGGATCCTAAATTTAGTGCATAGCAATTCCAAGATATGCCGGCTCGTTACATATTCTTATGAAAAGGCCAAGCAAAGTAGCTTATACAACCTGCAGCGGATTTCGTGGTGCCGGTTTGTGGTTGTGTCTGTAATCGATTCCGATCCACCATCCAGTGGAAGAGAAGCTTAAGTCAAATATTCTTAATCTAGATTAATAGCCTAATGACCACGACAAACTGATGGCAGCGGTAATTTTGTTAGATTTTCTGGCAGCGTTTAACCAGATTATTTAGACTTTGGTTGTACAAAGCTTGCCAATCGTACATCAAGGCATTCTCCTTTTGAGAAGAGGATGAAGTTTGTTTAAGAAGATTAACTGGAGTATTCTACTTTTCTGTACTTTTTACTACTACTTATTTCGTTATGTTTTATTGCTAAATCAGACAGAAACGACTTGATCAATCATACCATTCTCTTCGAAATTCTTTAAAATAACTCTGAAGATCGATTTCAGCAGTGAACCCTGTAGAAGAAATCGCATTTGGCTCCCTGCTCACAACTATGCAAGTAATATTCTTCATTTACATTGTTTTGTTTCCAACGTGTATGTACTATATTGCTTGCTGCACCCTCATGTGTCACATTCACACTCACCCACCTTGCACTGACGCAGGATATTTGTGTTGAGTTTGAATTCCCGCCTGCCTAATTAGCTCCGTGCAGTATGTCTAGGTGCCAAAGGTGGATGCTTCAAACGCGCAAGCAAGCGCCAGGTAAACTATGAATCCCCGTGTGACACTTGCGCGGTATGACACAGGGGTGTGGATATTTGTTGTGCCGTGCTTGCCCTACCGTGCCCCGTGTTATTTTAAGCCCACATTAAATGCTGTGGGCCGCGGCCCTTCAGAGGAAGGTGTGGGACTGGGCTGCCGGCTGGGGGGGGCGGGGGGGGGGGGGGCTGACTGTCCCGCCGTGCCACCAGGCGGAGTCTACAGCTGGCCGGCTCGCGCGCTCGCGCGACCGGCGGACGGCGTATGTTGCTCTGCGGTAGTTGTTGCCGTAGCTCATGGGGCGGCGAACGCGGCTGGAGTGACGTTGTCACGACCCAAGATGGTGTGTATGTGATTGTGTGGTGTTTTGAATTCGAAACGAGCAGAAATGTAAACGTTGGGATGGTTGAGATTTAGTGAAGTGTGATGAAGCGAAACAAAAAACTGTTGAGGGCTGAATCGGCATCCTTAAGTGTTCAAATGCAATCTTTTGAGAAGCGATGCTGTTTTGGTCCGCTCACCAGCCACTATCTAAATATCAGCAAAAGAGCGAACGCCGCGTAGCCCGTGGAGACTGCAACGCCGGGCATCCGGGTGTTGCCTTTAAGGCTTGAGATCTTGTGCTGTTAAAGCTATGTTGCGTAGTTTTTCAACTACTCGGTTTGGAAAAAGGTCGGATATTCCAAGACGAACATGGTCACTGACAAGCCAGCTCAACTAGCAACGTTTCTACAATAAACCTGGGTTGACATTGTCAGCAGAAAATGTTTGAGGAGGGCGCCTCCTGATGCTTCAGCAATCCTTATTTAAAAAGAAATTCACTTAACAGCATTCCGGACCCTCAGCAACTAATGTGGGCCCAAAGTAACACGGGAAATGGTGGAGCAATCACGGCAGAACAGAAATCCACACGCCTGTATCATACCGCGCAAGCGTCCCCGGAGAATACCATAATTTACCTGGCGCTGGCATACACCTTTCAAGCATCCACTTCGTGTGCTAGGCATACCGCACAGAAATACTTATTCAGGTGGGAATTCGAGCTTTACACACATACTTGACGTAAACGTACTTGCTGAAGGATTGGCAAGCTTTGTATAAACGCAATCTCGATAATCTAATGTTACGCTGCAAGAAAATAGAAAAAATAAAGTGGTCGCCTTGTTCATATCTGGCGTTTATTACCACCATTTCCAGACAAACGGCCATCAGTTGCTTCTCTATCAATGTTGTGCAAGGTACAATGACGTAATCAGGCAATGATGTATCGAAGAACATATCAACCATTTGGCTCGATGAACTCAAGTCCTCAACAGTTCTCGTTTTTGCACAGCAAGAATGTCCCCGTGTACGACCTTCCGCACGAGGAACGTTTACCCTTGTTTTCTTGCAGCCCTTGGCGCGGCGCTATGCATAGGGAATGAAGGTATCAAAACCAGACGAGTGAACATTTTTAACATCTCTTTTACTTCAGTGTCTACTCAACTTCGGAGCATTTCAAGATATCCAAGATCACCCAAACAAGTATGATGGCACAGAAACGCCACAAGAATCGCGCCATGTCATTGGCAGCGTATTGTTCAAGGCCACAAGAAACAATTATCATCGCGCTTTTTTGGCTTCAAGGAAAACGATCCCTTGCATGAACGTACATCAACGGTCATTTGACTAAGGTGGTAGTTTCTTGCGAGGTTCCACCACGTTTGGTTATGTTTGGTTGTTTGGAATAAAAGCCTTTCGGCCAGTAACGATCACTTCAGAACTATTAGACGCAAGATAATGGATAACGGTAGAGTAGGATCACATGTGCTTGGGGGAGGGAGGGGGCGGGGGCAACCGCTGAGCTTTAGCCTGCGCATGGGCTCTCAGCGTGAGTGCTAGACACCCGGTGGGGGAACCAATTCAGAATGTCTTTTGGCACACCCGTGGCTAATGCCTGCAGCCTGACGCCTTGGTGCCTAAGATTAGTCGCCTTTCTACGATGAAACCAAGGTGGTAGTTCACTGCATCATTTGGCTCGCTTTGATTTGTTCACGTAACAGTACCTAGAATACGAAGAAGAGCCACAAGCTACGATACGACGAACTTTCAACACCGCCACAGCACAGCACAACATTACACAACAAAAAAACGTGTCAAGGTATCAAAGTTTTTAAAAAACGTGATATTTTGGGGCGAAGTGGGATTAATTGGGGCGAATTTTGGATTAGGAGCCCTATGATATAGTTATTTCGGTTGCAGTTTTAGCCTGAATTAACATGTGTGGAAGTTAAAGCAGTTTATCCGGTGAAGTTGTAGTTCCTGTTGTGTTATAACACTCTCATTCTGTTTCCTGCGTTGCCCAGCTTTTCTCGCGCGGTGCAATCCGCTTGCAGATCCATCCGACATCCGGTGATTGATGCAGTCCGTTGAGCGCTCTAACGCAGATTACACACATAAATGTTGCATTGCATGCAATGATGTTACACGTCGGTGCACATGTCACATTAACTTAGCAAGGTGAAGAACTCGTGGCCATCACCGAGCTGCTCAGTGGCTTTCGTTGTGCTCGTCACGGCCAAGGACAACAGTGAAAGGGCGGGCACCCGAAGAGTATCAGAGGAGTCTCTATCTCATATGGAGTGAGAACCACGGAGTCACCCGAGGAGTCGAGGCTTCGAAACATTAAACAGCTAAGGACAACCAATGAACGAGTGAAAACTGGGCGTGGACGTTCGTCATTCAACAGCGCTGTACCTAGATGTTTCAACAGCGGAGGAGCTGCACGCGATCTTGCGTTTAGCCTGATGGTTGGACAGAGCTGCCAGATTCCCCACGACGAAACAGGTTTCGAAGGGGCTGGAGGCTGCTGCTAAACGCCTTGCGGATGAGCACGTGGCTCATGCTGTAGACCCACGCTCCTGCAGCCAAGCAGCCGAGACGAGTAAGGTGGAGTATTGATGCTAGTGTGGGCATGCTGATCCAGCGGGTGCCGATCCTGAGACCACCACCGATGATGTCGAGAATGATGAAGAGCGACAAAACTTCGACAATTTTCTTGAAAGATTTAGTACGAGTCAGAGCAAAGATGTTTGCAGTGCCGTCAGTGATTCCCGCCGAAATCACCTCCACCTGATTCTGTCGAAGTCCTGTAATTCCAGCGAGGACGAACAAAAGTCCGGTGGCTACCGAAACGAAGAGAAGGAAGGCTTCAACAAAAAACACAAAAACGCTCGGCAACTTTTCCCAGCGACAGTCCTGTCCAACTTCAGTCAATTCTCCGACGCGCTGTCCGAACTGGTAGACGGTCTCCAACTGGAGGGCAGAGCAGGCGGCCCCCACCACCACCGCAAACAGGAAAGCCAGCCAAGGCAGAACAAGCAGCCACTTCGTCCAGCGGTCCATGATGTCGCGGTAATGCAGCGGATAGACGACGGCAATGAACTGGTCGAGGGCGACCAGCATCTGCGCCATCTTCAGAGAGATTGCAAGAGAGCTGGCAGCTATCTGAACCGACTAGCAGACGACATACAGGACGTGGTTAAAAATGAGGTCCAGGCTACCAATCAGCAGCAGATTCAGGACAAACAGTAGGTCGCCGAGCGCCAGGTTCGCCACGAGCAGTGCCATCGGCTCGTCATGCAGTGTCTTGGTCCGGCTGATCACCAACAGCGGTATGGAGTAATTGAGGGCGAGAGCAGAGCCGACGGCCACTTTGAGTCACGGTACCATCACGCTGACGCTCTGGGTCCTGATGGATGGTCTACGACCTTCCCTGGCCTAGCTCTGGAGCCGCACTGACGGTGAGCGACAGCGGGGATGTCTTTTAACTTGACATTTCGCGGTATGGTCGATAAGTAATCATTTCTGGATTTACTGACGCGTATTCTAACGAACGCGTTAGAGCTCTTTCCAAAGTATGTGTGCCAAGCGTAAGCTGGCTCAACGTCACAGAAAGGAAAAAAGAGAGAGAGAGAGAGAGAGAGAGAGAGAGAGAGAGAGAGAGAGAGAGAGAGAGAGAGAGAGAGAGAGAGAGAGAGAGAGAGAGAGAGAGAGAGAGAGAGAGAGAGAGAGAGAGAGAGAGAGAGAGATATATATATATATACATATATATATATATGTTTATATATATATATATATATATATATATATATATATATCACGCAGAAAGTGCATTCTATGCTACTTAGCGAGTGACTTCTATTACTACCATCGTATAAGGTCGAACACCGAAGATTGCGCAATTAACCTCGGACGATTCAATGCGACTTTCCACACAGCCGAGGAGTGCTTCTGAATAAAGAACGTGAGCGTTTATTTAGTTTCATGACGCTATGGTTAATATGATGTTTCGCCTTCCTCCATAAGACGATGTATTTGCAAGACTCAAGACGAACGATGTCAGATCACTCCCATGCCCTTCTCCTGCCTCTTTCCTCCGTTTCCAGTGCTTATGTGTTATTTTTTACCAACCCTTTTTTACAAAGAGGTCCATGTAACGCAAATTTATGAGCCTTGCCATCTGTCCATCCTTTCCTGCCTGGCATCTTTCTGCGTGTGTGCTACACGCCGAACCAACGCTACAAGGTGTGATAGAGTTGTTACCTGAAATACTAGCCGGAAGTATGGAACACAAATCGTTTATTGCATTAATCTTAGTTTCCCACCGGAACATTTCAAAACGGTCGCAAGATCAGTGGCGAGACATTTGCAGTTTTAGCCTCCCTTGAATGGTTCGAGATGTATTTCAGAAACATCCTGAGGTGTGTTTTTGAGCCCAGGTGGCAAAAGTTGAAAGCTCCGTAGTACGGGTGCGTGGAGACGTCATCAATTTTCGTTGAGTGGAGCGCGTTTTCAACGTTTTCGATAAGGGCTTTGTTATCTAAGTCATCTTTTTGAAATAGCATGTCTAATTACAGGACAAATGCTAAAGTTTTGTAAAGTCTGCTGCAATCGCACTCTCTGCCCATTCATCCCCGGTATCTGAGAGAAATTTGAAGATTCGAAATCCAATACCTAACTATGGTTTATTTCGCGACGTGGTTAGCCTAGTACGGCAACAAAAATTCCTGCCCGGGTGTCATAGGCGGTGCCAGGAAAATGAAGAGGATGGACAAAGTGAAGCAGACATTGCCTGTGAGCCACAGTGCTAATATGCAGCCTTGTCAAATTATGGTGGATGTATAGCATATACAGACCTGCTTCCTAGGCGTGTTGAGTTTCCCAAAGGGCAGCAGGAACACATGATCAAGATCTGAGGGATTTGATGCCGGCTCGTTGTCCATTATCATTTAAAGCTCAAGCAAAGCAGCTTATACAACCTGCAGCGGACTTTGTGGTGCGGATTTGTAATGGTGTCTGTGATCGATTGCGATGCAGCACCCAGTGGAAGAAAAGCGTAAGTCAAATATTCTTGACCCAGATCACAAGCCTAATAGCCACAACAAACTGATGGCTTTCGTATTTTCGTTACATCTTCTGGCAGCGTTCAACCAGATGATTTAGATTTTGTTTGTACAAAGCTTGCCAATCGTACGTCGAGATAAAATGCTTTTGAGAAGAGGATAGTGTTTGGATAAGCAGATTACAGAGACCATTCCTTTTTTGTACTTTTTACTACTAATATTTAGTTGCATTTTCTTGTTAAATCAAGCCGAAACGGTTTCATCGGTGATACCGTCTGTTGGAAATTCTTTTGATGAACTCAGAATTTCGATTTCAAGTAGTGAACCCCATAGGAGGGATCGCATTTGACTCCCTGCTCACCACTATACAAATAACATGATTCAGTTACTTTTTTCCAACGTGTATGTGCTGCATTGTTTGCTGCACATTCATATGTCACGTTCACCCTCACTCACACTCCGATGACGCGGGATATTCGCGTGGAGTTTGAATTCCCGCCTGAATAATTATTTCCGTGCGGTATGTCTAGGTACCAAGTGGATGTATGAAACGTGTAAGGAAGCGCCAGGTTAACTATGAAATCCCGGGGGACAATTGCGCGGTATGAGACAGGGGCGTGGATTTCTGTTCTGCCGTGATTTCCCTACCGCGCCCCGTGTTATTTTGGGCCCACATTAAATGCTAAGAGCCGCGTCCCTTCAGAGGAAGCTGTGGGACTGGGCTGCTGGCTGGGGGTGTGACTGACTGTGCCGCCGTGCTACCAGGCAGAGTCTACAGCTGGCCGGCTCGCGCGCTCGCGCGGCCGGCGGCCGGCGTACTTTGCTCTGCGGTAGTTGTCGCGGTGGCTCAAGATGGCGGCGCACGCGGCGGAGGCGGCGGTGTCGCGACCCAAGATGGTGTGTATGTGATTGTGTGGTTGTTCGAATTCACAACAAGCAAAAATGTGAAAGTTAGGATGGTCGAGCACAGGGAGGTGTGATCAAGCAAAGAACAAAATGTTGAGGGCCGAATTGGCATCCTTAAGTGTTCGAATGAAATCTATTCAGAAATGTTGCGTTTTTCGTCCGCTCACCGCCTCCATAAACGCCGAGCATCCGGGTGTTTCATTTCGGCCTTAAGAGCTTGTTCTGTTAAAGCTATGTTACGTGATTTTTCAACTTCTTGGTTTGGAAAAAAGGTCGGATCTTCCAAGACGAGAATGGTCACTGAGAAGCCAGCTCAACTAGCAACCTTTCTACAATCAACCTGGTTTGCCATTGTCAACAGACGGTGTTTGAAGAGGGCGCCTCGTGATGTTTCGACACTCCTTAGTTTAAAAAGAAATTCACTTAACAGTATACCGGACCCTCAACAATTACTGCGGGCCCAAAGTAACACGGGCAAGGTAGAGCAATCACGGCAGAACAGAAATCCACACGCCTGTATCATACCGGGCAAGCGTCCCCGGAGAATACCATAATTTACCTGGTGCTGGCGTACACCTTTCAAGCATCCACTTCGTGTGCTAGACATACCGCACAGAAATACTTATTCAGGTAGGAATTCGAACTCCACACACATACAGCGCGTCAGCGGAGTTTGAGGGAGAAAGGGTGGGACACAAGTGTGCTGGAGAAAATAGAGTACACACACGTTCGAAAAAGCAGCTTCAACTTTTAACATCTCTTTACTGTCATTGTCTACTCAACTTCAGAGCGATTCATGATATGCAAGATCACCAAAGCATGCATGATGGCAAAGAAACGCAACAAGAATCGTGAAATATCATTGGCAGCGTATTGCTTAACGTCACGAGAAACCATTATCATTGTGCCTTTTGGCGTGAAGGAAAACGATCACTCGCATCAACGTACATCAGCTGTCAGTTGACTAAGGTGATGGTTTTATGCGTGATTCAAACACAATTGGTTTGGTGAGGTTGTTTGGAATAAAGGTCTTTCGGCCACAAACGAGCGTTTCACAACTATTTGATACAAGATAATAGATAACAGCGGAGCAGGACCACATGTGCCTAGGGAGGGGGGGGGGGGGGCTGGGTCGGGGCAACCGCTGAGCTTTAGCCTGCACATGGGTCCCCAGTGCGTGTGTTAGACATCCGGTCGGGGAACCCCTTCAGGAGGTCTCTTGGCACACTCGTGGCTGACGCCTGCAGCGTGACGCCTGGACGCCTAAGATCAGTTGCCTTTCTACGACTTAATCAAGATGGTAGTTCACTGCATCATTTGGCTCGCCTTTATTTGTTCACGTAACAGGACCTAGAACAGGAAGAAGAGCCACAAGCTACGATACGACAAACTTTTGACACTGTCGCAGCACAACGCAACACTACACAACAAAAAACATGCCGGGGTGTCAACGTTTTTAAAATATGGTCATGCTCTGGGGCGAATTTTTACCTTCCGTACGCACAGTAGAGCACTGAAGGGAATTATTATCTGATCTAGACCGGTGTGCCTCTCCAGAACCCAATGCGATCGCCAATGCGGCTTTTTGCAAATTTATTTTTTAAACCCATCATGATCCGGCTGAGCTAAGTTATGTTCATAATAATCCGTATCATTGCGCATCAATGTTATTTGTTTCCATCATCATCAACGGCCGAAGATGTCACACATCAGCCTATGTTTGGCTTGCTCCGTAAGAACTTAAATCACAATTACAATCGTGAGCTAGTTTTACGTATTCTGAATGATTGCCAGAATAAGGTGCTGGAAACAATGACCTGATTTATTTACCTCGCGTGCATGGAAGTGGCTGTGAGCAGATACCTTGCACACGTGGCACACAAAATGACTAACATAATCCCCTATTCTTTGCCAAGAAGCTAAATTCTCAAGCACAACCTAGGCTTACTGAAAGGAAAAATTAACATCTGAATGGAATGAAATGCATCCAAAACAAGTAGCGATCCTTTAAACTTCAAATATCCTAATATTAACACAGGTTAGAATTAATAGAAGTGAGCAAAAAATAAATGCATCTTTGTATGATGAGTTCTGATAATATTGACATATCCATTATTTGTTATTGTTGAACATTATTGTTTAGCAGACGCTTCTTGTGGAATATCGTACTCAATGACATGTTCACATGAACTTCCATTTATCTACAATTGTAACGAAGATATTTGTGGGCTAGGAGCCCTATAATACGGAGTTTAAGCCTGAATTAACATCTTTGGAAGTTAAATTAGTTTTTTTCCGGTCAAGTTGTAGTTCCTGGCGTGTTATTACACTTTCACTCTGCTTTCTGCGTTGCCCAACTTTTCTGGTGCAGTGCAACCCGCTTCCAGATCCATCCAACATCCGACAATTGATCCAGTCCGTGGAGTGTCCTAACGCATCTTACACACATGCGTGTTCAATTGTGAACAATGATGCTACATCGTGCGTGTACAGGTTACAATGACTCAGCCAGGTGCAGAGCTCGTGGACATCACCGAGGCGCTCAGTGGCTTTCGTCGTGCACGTCACGAACAAGGACAACAGTGAAAGTGCGGGCACCCGAAGAGCATTAGCCTGCAAAGGAGTCGAGACTGGGGAAATATCCGAGGGGTCTCCGTGTCAGATGAAGTGAGAACCACGGAGTCACCCGAGGGGTCGAAACGTTAAACAGCTAAGGATGACCGCTGAACGAGTGAAACTGCGCGTAGACGTTAGTCTTTCAACGCGCTGTGTCTAAGAGATGTTTCAACAGCTAAAGAGCTGCACGACATCTTGCGTTTAGCCTGATGGTTGGACAGAGTTGCCGGATTCCCCACGACGAAACAGGTTTCGAAGGGGCTGGAGGCTGCTGCTGAACGCCTTGCGGATGAGCACGTGGCTCATGCTGTAGACCCAGGCTTCGGCAGCCAAGCAGACGATGCGAGCAAGGTGGAGTATGGATATCATTGTGGGCATGCTGATCCAGCGGGCGCCGATCCTGAGACCACCACCGATGATGTCCAGAATGACGAAGAGCGACAAAACTTTGACAATTTTCTTGAAAGATTTAGTACGGGTCAGAGCAAAGCTGTTTGCAGTGCCATCAGAGATTCCTGCCGAAATCGCCCCAACCTGATTGTGTCGAAGTCCTGTGATTCCAGCGAGGACGAACAAAAATCCGGTGGCTACCGAAAAGAGGAAAAGAAAGGCTTCAACAACAAACAGATAAACGCTCGGCAACTTTTCCAAGCGGCAGCCCTGTCCAACTTCAGTCAATTCTCCGACGCGCTGTCCGAATTGGTAGACGGTCTCTAACTGGAGGGCAGAACAGGCGGCCCCCGCCACAGCCGTAAACAGGACAGCCAGCCAAGGCAGAACAAGCAGCCATTTAATCCAGCGGTCCATGATGTCGCGGTAATGCAGCGGATAGACGACGGCAATGAACTGGTCGAGGGCGACCAGCATCTGCGTCATCTTCAGAGCGATTCCGAAACAGGCGGCAGCGATCTGAACGGACTGGCAGGCTGCATACGTGACGTGGTTAAAAACGAGGTCCAGACAACCGACCAGCACCAGATTCAGTGCAAACAGTAGGTCGCCGAGCGCCAGGTTCGCCACGAGCAGTGCCATCGGCTCGTCATGCAGTGTGTTGGTCCGGCCGATCACCAACAGCGGTATGGAGTAATTGAGGGCGAGAGCAGAGCCGACGGCCACTTTGAGCCACGGTACCATCATGCTGAAGCTCTGGGTTCGGGTTCTGGGTTCTGGGCTGACGCTGACGCTCTGGACGCTACCTTCCCTGGCCTAGCTCTGGAGCCGCACTGACGGTAAGCGGCAGCGGGGATCTACTTTGACTTGACATCTCGCGGTATAGTCGATGAGCATTGATTGAAGTGCTTTCTATCGCTTATTGAAGGAAAGCCGTCATGCCTGTTCTAAATTGCGTGTAAAGAGCGTAGATTAGGTGAACGACAGAAGTATCCAAGGCAGATAGCTGATATAAATGCACTTATCTCTGAAGAGCCTCCATCAGGTAGTAAGCACCGAGTGGATTTATTGTCAGTTGTCAACGCAATGGGCCCAGCATCGAAGATGATTTCGATATCGGCAACATTTTCGACGCGATTTGCAGCGGAGAAAACGGTGCTCTGAGATTGTAAGGTGAGTACTTAGTTGTTTTGATTAGGCTGTCTGTGATAGCAATTTTCCACCCCGTGTATAAAAGCTACATACATGCAACATGCTGGGAAGTGCTCTGTAATACCGTCCTTCGGTCCAAGGACTTTGTCGCCTCTCATTCTTGACCATTGCCTGTTTTAAGATTATTTACGAGTTTATTGAATAGGCATTCATAAATCCTGTCATACATCCACCTTTGGATGAGGTGGATAAGACTGAGGTCTCGAAGGCTGCTTGTCCGATTGCCGAAAACCAAACAACGTTTAATTTCTCCTTACCAAAGCTGAAAACGGTGAAAAGGAAGGCTCAAATATTTTTCACTGGTGGCAGGAGGAAGGAAAGAAAACGAACAAAAAGGTTAACTCGGTATTGTTGGTCCACCACGTTTACCATATTCAGCGATGTATTGCGACCCATCAAACTCACATAGATAGCTTATAACTAGAGACTGGCATGCCAGGACGACATTTGAACGCTCGAAAATCATTGGCGTATCCAGGAGGCAGAAAAGGGACAAAAGCAAAATTTCTGAAAAGAGCTTTATAGGTGTCCATGCGGGACAAATGTCACTTTAATGCTGTGTGAAAGCAGAAATGCGCTGGTTATGCTATGATATGTTATGTTATGTTATGCTATGTTATGCGACAGCTTCAGCCGTCAGGCGCCCGCTTCCAAGCTTTGCCTCAGCTGTCAGCCACTCACTTCCAAGCTTGGCTTTAGCTGTCAGGCACGGACTTCCAAGCTGTAGGCACTGATCTTCATTTAGCAGCTAAGGCTTGTTAGCTGCAGTGGTGGCATCAAGGCGTGCAGATTGTTTGACTTGTCTGTACTATTCGACTTTTCATAAAAGTAAAAGCAAAAATATGCGGGATGCCATCTCTGATTTGCACGACTTTGTGACTGATAACCATGAGCGAGAGCGTTGTACCTATAAAAATCAATGACGGTGCGCTTCAACCTAGCAACGAGAAACAGAAACCAGGATCCAGATCCATGGTCTGCCAAGTTATCGGAGGGAATCAGGATCTGAGTTTCGGCTTTTGGAAGGAGCCAGTGAGAACTGCTGGTCATCATCTCTCGGTCATCTGCATTTGAGATGAGGCGCCCATGTGACAGGTGAATGGGCAAGTCGTTCATGAATAGGGCAAATGATAGCTGACCTACTATGGATTCCTGGGGCACGCCGTGGGTTACCGGTACCGGTACTGAGCTTACCAGTGCTTGTTGAGCTATTCGCTGGAGGCATATTCCTGCGGTCGTCTCCGTGTGCACCTCCCCGTTTACGAAAGTTACTGCATGTATCAATATATGTATGAATGCCTGTTAACAGTAAAAAATCGGATCAGACACGTAGTAGTAAACAAATCGAGGGCATTTACTGCTGTTTACGTCATGCTAAAAAAACTGTGCGCCTGCTGTACGCTATGCAACTTCTAGATTGTGGTCAATGGATTCATCTAGATGTAGATTCATCAGTGTAACTTCTAGATTGTGGTCACATCCCAGCTCAAATTAACCTATTAAGAATGCCTGCATGGACCCGTCCTATTCATCCAGACTTTCAAGACGACCCTATGACTGCAAGCGCCGAACAAAAGAGGTGCCGCGGTTTGCCAGTCGAACCCTTTTCCGGTCGCGTGACGACACCACTAGCAAACATGAGCCGTCCGAAGGCTTCCGGCGCTGGGCGTGTGTCGCGGTCGTCTGTGAGCAGCCCAAACCGCGTGTCAGGTGCCGTGTGACACAACTGACACTAGCCATCCGGCCTCACCCCACGCCGACCCCCGCGTCTCGGGTCATCGCGTCACACGTAGAGACTAGGGGGCAGTGCCAGAACAGGACCGCGTGACAGTGTTAGCACGGCTCTCGTCAAGGTATAACCATTCAGCACGATAAGGACGCGACGTGACGCACCACGGTGCCTCTGACAAACGCACCCTTTGCCCCACTTTTCGAAGCATCATGCATCGTTTCACATCACGATCGTGCACGAGTTTCAAGCTTTGCACATGGCTGCTCCTCAATTTCCCTCCTTTATCGACAATATCCACGTGCCTGTGACGATGCACGGATACAACGGTGAGGGGTCCTATCCATGGGTCGTTCGCCTCGGAACGCGCACCAAAATTGTGATGCTAGACTTCGTCACCCGGTCGGACCGCCCAGGCCACCACACCGCGTCTCCTGTCATATCGTTGTCTGTCTGCCTTAGCGTTTCGAGCAGACTGCTGTGGAGCCTGCTGAAGTAACGCAGAAAGCAAGCGAAGCTTCTCTTAAAAGAAGTCTTGCGAATATTGTTTCCCAGGCTTTGTCGCTAGCTTTTCCATAGTGTTATGCGGATACCTCAAAAGTGAAATGAAACAGGGACAGAACGTGTTGTGTTTGATATATCGGTGCTTAGCGAACATACAATTTCTGGTGAAAACTGCTCCCGGTCTGAGCCATGGCAGTCAGAAAGTGCGCGCTGCCGTCGTTCGATGTCTAAGTGTTTTCGTCCGATTTTACTAAAGACCTCATGATGATATATAAGCTGGCGCGTGTCTGCACTCCAAAGTATTCCGCAAAAGCCCCCAACACGAGGATCTTTCACGAGGTTGGATCCAGCATCACTCTCGCCTGTTTTTGGGCGCCCAAAAGTTAAGAAGTGGTAGGAGAGCTTTTCAACAGCGTCGTCCGCACTGCCAGCATTCAGTGCATAATACATAAGAAAATCCGATAATTTGCCAACACATGTCGAAACCAGGGTTCGTCTAGACACAACATTTCCTGGTAACCTCAAAATATCAATGGCAAGCGCTTCATTGGACCAATGTACCTTCTCGGCTAAGAGAGGAGGACTGCACACCCGGGTGCTCTTTCTTTGACTGCAGTGTGCAAGAGCGCACATAGTCCTCACAGTCCGCCTTCTTTGACTGCGCAGTGTGCAAGAGAGCACATGGTCCATGCAGTCCGCTTTGATGCCCGGCTGCCAGACGCGTCTGCTGAGCTGCTCGTACATTTTCTCATGGCCGCCATGGGAGTGATGCTAGGTGTCACGATCAGCGTAGAACCGCCCAAAGCGCTTTGCTAATGGCCGAACAACTTTTTCATAGCACTCCGAGCTAGAACTAAGGAGCCCGGAACACTGTTTCACAAGCTGAAAGCTCAAACCCTGAGTCTGAAACTGCCGACGGGCTCGCGTTTCAGCTGGAGCGGAGCGAAACGTGGCCATTTGCCGTGATTCAAACGATGGGATACGGCTCGGCGATTTTTATCGCGCCGTTGATACCGCCGCAAGGCTTTTGGCTTCAGAGGTAGCTGCAAGAAACGATCAGCAACCGTTAAGTTAACCTCCCAAGCCCCTGGGTGATATTCCCACAGGCAGACTTGTGCCTGGTTCCCAAGATTTCTCCCCGGGAACCGGTTCCTAGTTCCTGGTTCCCGAGCCAGGAAGAACTCAGGAACCAGTCTGGCAATAAGGCGAAAGATCCAGCAAGAACCAGGATCCAGCTTGACAATAAGCCGAAAGATCCAACAAGAACCAGGATCTATCTTGACAATAAGTCAAAAGATCCAGCAAGAACCAGAATCCAGCTCGTCATTAGGCCAACAGATCCCACAAGAACCAAGATCCAGCTTGACATGAAGACGAAAGATCCAGCAAGAACCAAGATCCAGCTTAGATCGGACAAAGGGACCCAACAACAACCAAGATCCAGCCTGGAATTATGTTGAGGGATCCAGCAAGAACCAAGACCCGGCCTGGAATATACATAGTGATCCAGCAAGAGCCAAGATCCAGCTCAGGCTTAAGATGGAGAGTCAATTTCAGCAAGAACCAAGATCCATTCTAAAATTATGTTCAGGGGCCAGCAAGAAACAGAATCTTACCAGGATTTCTTCAGAGCAGTTGCTGCTTACACTCCCCACTTTTTCAGTTCCAGCAATGTGTACTGTTCTTAATGCAAATGAATAAAGTTAAGTCTATGAACACTGCTGGTTATCTGCTCAGGCTGTTCCTCATACACCATAAAACAAATTTGTTGTTCTTCAATGTTAAAAACGTTACAAATTCAGGGAAACAACATCAATAACTCGTCAAGACACAGGTATGATGCAGACCTGCTAGGTCTGCAACTGGGATGTTAGCAGCCTAGTTTTGTCCTGAAAGGAAATGCCCGCTCTTCCGTGCGGATATCACGGAAATAATGAATTATATATATATATATATATATATATATATATATATATATATATATGTATATATATATATGTATATATATATATATATGTATATATGTATATATGTATATATGTATACATATTTATGCATAAATATGTATGGTTGTATGGTGCTGGTTGTCGCCGGATGTGCCTGTTCGGACACTGGCACATATCGGACACATACTGGCACATACTGGCACATATCGTTCGCGCTCGGAGCTGCCGCCCCTAGCGAGCTGGTCAGGCGGAGCTACAGGAGGAGTTTTGGGTTCTTGTCGAAACACTACCCTAACTCTCACCGCCCTCACGCAAACGATATGACATGTCGACTTGTTGCATTTGGTTAGCCG